CGTATTGCCAGAACGCATAACTGCCTCGAGAATCCTCGAACCACTCCCAATGATGCCCACACACTCTGCTAGAATGGTGGCAGACTGCCGACAGGGGGGTTTGGTGGCAAGCTCGGGCGCTTGGGCTTCTCATGTCCTTTTGAAAGCCGCGGGGAGGACCAGCCTTTCTCTTGTTAAGGTTCGAATTGAAGTTTGGAAAAGCTCCACCCTTTCTTGTTTATCGTAAGCTCTCTTCCATGGTTTCTTAAAAAAAGGGGATGGTCAAGAGCTGTCGCTCCTAACGAAAAAGGGAAGGATTTTTTTTATCGCCCGAAAAGCAGTCGGAGCTCTCTTCTTTCTCGTGATGGTCTGTTGTATTGCTACGAACAACCAGGGGGTTGTTTTGGAGCATCAGGTATAAGAATCCACGAAGTCCGTGCTGACGTGCGGGGCAGCCTCCCACCAGCGACCAGCCGCTTGCCAGCGCCCACCTCGCACACCGCTCAACGGCTCGCCGTTAGCTCCGGAAGCAGCAGCGTAGCTTGCAGTTGCACTACGATCGCGCTTATGCTGGTCGCAGAAAGTGTGCGTTAAAAAAATTGCTCGCTAAATCACTCTTTTCAGTGCGTGTCCCGGCACAATGCTTTCGGTCTACCTGACAGCTGGATGTGTTCACTGTGTTAGCCGTAAGGGAAGCTTCGCCGTAGATAGACAGCAGTGCACAGAACAACACAGAGAAGTGATTTCACGTGTTCCTGTAACTGACTGCACACGCTCCTGCCATTGGTGGTGCCCTGTTCAGCATCTCTGCGCTGTCCCATCATGGAGGGGGGCCTGCTTCTGCGCGTCTAGCTGCAATCGCTGGAGCTGGCCGGGTCCAGCTGAAGTAGGCGGGTGTAAGATGCGGCCGCGGGAAATCCATGAGAAATCACGACACTTGATCGAAATGAATTGGAGAAAACAACACAGGGCGCCCCCAGGCCCCTTTTTTGTTTGTGAAGGTTCCTTGGGGCCTTTGTGGTTTCCCGGCCTCGAACGTCACCTGCGGCCGCACCTAAGCAGCGCTTCTCCATGGTTCCAGGAGCGCAACGGATCGTGTTGGGGATGCTCCCGCGGAACTCGTACAGACGCCGGAACCTACTAACTTTCCACCGTTGGGAACTTGCAGGAGCCAGCCGCCTCCGAGGAGCTCGCTCGTCTCCAACGGCCTGCCGCTATGGCACGGCTCTCGCAGTCGATGCCGCCTTGTCAACCACGTTGAAAACCCACACGGGCACTGAAACCTAGCGACCACCTGCCGCGATGCAAATTGAAAATTGAGCGACAATTTGTGCATTCCGTGTCGGGTGAGGGCTGCGTGAACAGTGCCGTGAAGGCCGCATGTGCACGGGGACCGCGCGCTTGGAGACGGTTGCAAGAAGGTGCGTAAAGAATTGTTTCCATGTATTTATTATGTCCGTTGGTCTGCGGCGCACGCCTGCTGCGATATTTCCGCGCCTTACGTTCGTATCCAATGTATGTCAGGCTCAACGTTCTAACGCCTCGGGCCTGAAGCCTCATGCTCCGTTGTATGGTAATGCAAGGAGTTGTTGATACTTGAACCTAACATACCGCGCAGCTCACACTGGGACGTTTCGTGCACCGCTGCCGAAAAAAGGTGCGCTGAAAAAATATAAAGATTTGCTTCACGACTCCTGCCTGCTGACCCCGCGCCACTTTCCAGTTGCTGCATCGTGTCCGATGCCTGCCGCTTGTGCCTCGTCACTGCCGCTGGCGTGAGCTATCGTGAGCTGCTCGACCCGCTCGGCGACCGCCAGTCCGCGTGCGCTACCTCCGGCGCGCTTGTCACCCGAGGCTTCCTGCTCGAGCACCATGCGTCGCGAGGCTGGTGCGCGGCGAGGCACGTGTGGCTCGCCGACATCGTATAAGGCCAGATGGGCACGTAGTGTCACCACCATAGCTCGTCGACACTACCGCACCAAGCAGCGCTCCCGTCGACCGCCGGCGCCTCCATGGACCTCGGCATTTATGGTCCTTCACCCCTTAAGTTGGCGTAGCTTTTTGCCGCGATGATCTGCGATGCAACCCTCGTCTCGCCTCTCACACGCGCCGGCCCGCCACACCCCGGCGTGGCCGCACAAGATGGAGCAGTTGTGCGCACCGCTTTTCGATGCAAGCACGCCACCTACCCCGAACTCGCTACAGGCGGCGCGCACACCCCATGCGTGCTCGTTTGCAACACGAAGGGGCGGTGGCATGCTGACGCAGTGCAGCTGGTTAGGCGCCTGTGACCTCCGCATGCACGGAAACCCTGCCGGCTGTGCGAGCCCCTACGAAAGCAGCGTGGGCCCGCCCCTGATGGGCATGCTTTCCGTGACCGTCCAACATCGTCCAACTTCTTGACCCCCTGCCGGTCATCCGCGCCCGGGTCCCCTCAGCTGCGGAGCGCCTGCTCGCAGCCCTGCGCGACAACAGGAGCAGCTGCGCGGGCCGAGCGGGGGGGGCAGGCGCAAACGGCGCAAGAGCAGGACGCGGAAGTGTGAGTCGGGTATTGCAACATCATCCGACGTGGGCAGTACCGTGAACGCTCGGGCCGCGTGAGGACCGGCTTGAGAGAGCAGCAGCGCCCGGGACGCAGGGGACAAATCAGCAAAATGCGTCTCGAGCGCGCGCTCATCGCAAGCGTGGGAAGCTCTGCGCTGCCATCCGCGCAGGAAGTCTGCAGGCTCGTCGTGTTGGGACTGCGGGCTTGGCACAGTGGAGATGGCCTCGTCCCATGACGGCACTGCGTAGCCCTGGGTGGTCAAGTAAGCCGCTGCCTGGGCTGCAGCCAAGAGCGAAGGCAGCCGGCACATCGATGTTCATGGCGGCCAGCGCGACGTTGCGCCCGACACGCGCCCCGGCTTCTTGGCAGACGCGGGCGATGGCCCGCTCGAGGGGCAGTGCGCGGGAGGTGAGCACGCCGGATGTGGAGCATGCAGCTCGATGGTCTCCGTACGCATCAAGCACGCCGTGTCCAAGACGCGAGGCGCATCGAGGTCGTCTGCAACGGCCTCCCGCTTTGGCACGGCGCACAACTTGCCCTGGACGCGACGCTCGTCAGCCCAGTGACCAGAGATGGCCGCCCGCATGACGGCGCAGAACGCCACCCGGGTTGGGCCGTCCGCGGTGCTGCGCGGCGCAAACGCAGGCAGACGTACCCCGAGATCGACCGCAGCCGACGCTGTCGCCTTGTCGTTTTCGGACTCGAGGTCGGTGGACGTTGGGCTGAGGAAGCTGCCACCTTTGTTCGCCTCCTCGCCCGGGCGCGGGCCGCACGTGCCCCCGCCGCTTTGCGCAGCACCGCCCAAGCCGCCTGGGTTCTCCGCTGGAGCGGACTCATCTCCGTAGCGGCGCAACGTGCGCTCGCTGCCACTTTCCTTGAGCTACCCCTTCAGTCGGAGCTTGGTGCTGCTGGCCCGCCACCAGCTTTGCACGAGCTTCTCGCAGACGCTCGCTGGCAGGAGGCTCCTGAGCCAAGCCGCCTCCCTGCCCGTGCGTGAGTCGCGAGTGGTTGCCGTAGGTTGCAGTTGGCACTGGGACCCGGACCTCTGTCACGTGCAGTAGCAAAAAGGTGCGTGAAAAAAAAAAAACAAGAAGTTGGCCACACAGTGTGCCCGGGCCTCGCCGGGACCGTACCGATGTGCCAGCCCTGGATGAGGTTTGGGGTCCGAGCCACTTGCTGCTGCGATGAGGGCCGCCCCGCTGCATCCCCGCTCCTCCGCTCGATCGAGCGCGTGCTGGAGCTTGCGCCCAAGCCGCTGGCTGATGCGCGTGCGAGCACGACGGCGCTCGACGGGCGTAGCTTAGGGGCTTCCGTTCGGCGAGGACCGCAGCCTCGCAGGCGAAACTAGCAGTCAGAAAAGCGAGACCTCGTCGATCGGACCCCGCCACAAGAAGACAACGACAACAATCGAAAAGTTCTTGTGGCAACGCTTCGAACTTCGAACCGACGGGAGCTCCGAGCAGAGTGGCAGCAAGAAGCGTGCTTGGCACGGACACGCCTAGCAGACCCCACCATCGCCTGCACCAGCCCTGGGTGGCAGTCCCACGGGCCCATGGTCTAGCCGGCGGATCCTTCAAAGTCTTGGCCGGACTGGACGAGTTCGCAGCAGGCAGCGCGCTTGCGCTGTTCGGCAAGGGTGAGCGCGGCACCATTTCTGTGTGGCACTGCGCTGCCAAGGCAATCAGCATGCGGTCCAGTGGTGTTGCTGGAGGGCCGAGCCACGCGGCAGCGAGCGGCCCATACTGCGAACACAGCAGGCAGGAGCGACTTCGGAGATCTTGGTTGGCCGTCGCCCTCAAGGTCGAGCTAAAGCTGACTCAAGGAGCGACGCAACGTAGGCAAAGTGGCCGAGGGGCGTGCCCAAAGCGACAAACCGCCGCTCGGCTTCAGGAGCATCCCCGGTCCGGCCCCCTTTGCCGAGCTCGGTGATGCCAGGGCACAGGGCCGCCGGCGCTGTGGAAAACGCGTAATTGTGCCCGGGCGCAAGCGCTTGTCAGCCGCCACAAGAGCATCGCTCGCCTTGCTCGCAAGCAGCCGTTACCTTGGTGGATGCTCTGCCGCGCCCCAGAACCAGCAGCAGATGGACTCCGAGCCCAGAGACGGACGGACGGCACCTGGGTCGGGGCGACCTCGCGCAGCAGGATGCACCACGGCCATCGAGCGGCGCAGTTAGCATCAAGTTCGACAGCTTCGTGCAGCATGCCAGACAGGGCATGTTCCCGCAGCAATCATCCGAAGCGCGAAGGTTGGCAAAAAACGTGGCAACACATCTTGCAAACAGCACTGAGCAGAACATGATGCTCTTGCGGGAATTGGTTGATTCCGAAAAGTCGCATGCACGCAGGCTCCAGCTAGTTCTCTGAAGTGCACGAGGGGGAAGCAATAGTATGGCACTGGCTTTCTTCGAACCTTCGGGGAAGGATTGCGGCCGTGCCCAGACGTTCTATCGCGAGGAAATGCAGTCCTCCAGCCACTCATGGAGAAGATTGTGCAAAAGGCCAAGACCAAAGTCGACAGGGTGGTGAAAGCCGGCTCCGTTGGAAAAGGAACGGCCCTCAGCTTGAAAATCGACTTTGATTGTGTGTTCTTTCTGGAAGCTGGCGGTGTTCCGGAGTTCTTTTTGGAAGATATGGAAGATATTCTCATGCTGAACTTTGGCATCTCCGCCGATAAGAAACAGAAATCGTTGAGTTTCTTCCACAAGGGCTTCTACTTTGGTTTTCTTCAGGCGCTTCAGGATGCTAAGGTTGCACTGAACGATGGAAGCGGTGAGGCCCAAGTGAGCGCTGCATTGCGGTCCGGCCAGAGGCCCAACTCAGCAGAATTGGTGGAAGGAACGGTCCTATTCATGAAAGAGCAGTCCAGCTTTGCACACACCCTCGCGCGGTTATTGAAGTTCTGGAGCCATTCACTTCTTGTGCCGGGCTTTTTCAATGGGCGCTCTTACACGATGGAGCTTCTGGCAGTTGCAGCAGCTGAGGACGTGATGGGCGAAGATATGCTCCGAGCATTCCGCATAGCGCTGGACAAAATCAGAAATTACAGGTCTTTGAGCGTGATTTTTGAGCGCTTCTACAAGAAGGAAGAAGTTCCGCAGAAGCTGAAAGATTCACGGCCTTTATACTTGACCCTTCCAACCCATGGAACAACCTAATCTCGCCAGATCGCGTGCAGTTCTTTGAAAGCCTGGCAGGATTCGCAGATGAGACTTTGAGGAGGTTGGACGTAGCAGAGCGAGTGGGCTTTGGAGTGGATGCATTTTTCAAGCCACAGCCGGATGTGTGGAGAGGTGTGCCTCAGAGGCCCAAAGAAAATCGTTGGCTCGTGGGCACTCGCAACATGCCAGAAGTGCAGCAACCACAAATCCTGCCTCAGTCAAAGGGCCTGCATATGGAGTCGCTCCACTTAATTGTGCATGTGCTGGCCTTGTGGCTCATCACCCACAAACCTCAACCTGCGAGTGTCCAAGCTTGTTTAGAGAAAGCTGTGGATGCGGTGATGTACGGCCACGAGCGATCATGGAGCCCAAGCAGTGACCCGTGGGAGTCCAGAGACGCTATCGCTGTTATTCCTCTTTTAGATGGTTGTGGCACCTGTGCATGTGCCGGCTTCGATGTTGAGACGAACCCACATCGAACCGTAGAACAGAATCTTTCACTGGCCTCGATTTGGCCCTGAGGCCAGTCTCCTCTAGATTTAAAGTAGGTTTAATCTTCCGTCTTATGTCATGGACCCGAGTTTTTGAAGGCACATCGCAGGAAAAGGACTTCAGGGGGAAGGGGTTTATGTAGCAGCACGGGTTCTAGAGACTTGCAGCTTCAGAAGTGCATTGAAGCATCTTGAATGGCAGCCGATGCTGGTGATTTACTTCGTATGTGCATGTGTGCCAACACTTGAAGTTCGAGCTCTTTCCCTCTCTCTCACTCTCTCTTTCTCTCTTGTGCTGTTCTGGCTTCGGGCAGATTAGGTAGGGTGCAAGTGGTAGGGTAGGTCACACGGCGGCTTCCAGGCCTGGAAGTCGTTCTGTTTCTCATGCTGGTGCGTGTTTGGGGCTGATGGCCGGCATGACTCGGTTGACGAACGCTTCTTGTTGCCGATGGCAGGCTCTGGGGCAGCGCCGCGCCACAACCATGGCGAAGCGTTGCAGCACCAGAGCTGTAATTCAAATATTTCTGACAGGCGCGCACGTCGGCCCATCAATCAAATGCAGACGTTGTTGTGGGGTCAGCTTGCGCAAAGTCGGCATGCGCTGCTGCGTTCTTTAACATGTAGAAACATGGTATGCAATCTGCATCATATGGAGTTGGCTACTCGCAGCTTCGCCCTGGGGACGAGTATGGATTCCCCTGCCTGGACCCATTACAGGGTCTAGCAGTCTAGCTATCAAGTACATATTTTGGTCGAAGACGCCAGGGATGTGCCTGGCGACGGCAATCACCGCATTCACGTTCGCGTTCGTGTTCGAGCAGTTCATGGACCAGATGCCAGGAACCTAGTACATCAGCAAGTGGCTGGGTTTCCGAGAGTTGTGGGATCGCTTATAGACTATAGACTTATAGAGAGGCTGCTGTGGTTGCGTGTGCTGCCCACCTGGCAGACCGTCACTTCGCCTGGGAATGTCATTCGGGGTTTCATGTAGGAACTTGCTCGCAGGATTTTGTATGCTTATGAGGCAAAGCTTGTGAGAAGGGCGTTCGAAACCATTGTCTTTCGCTGGCTTTCTTGGGTGTTTGTTCTCTGGTTGTGGGAGCCGAGCCAACCTCACCGACAAAAACAGAGCCTGGCATGAAACGCAAAATGACGCCGTGCCTGCTTCCTCAGCAAGCGAAATGCCGGGCCTTGCGAAACTTCGAATACCTTCGACTGCTGAGGACAGAGAACTATCGTGGTGACCTTCGCTCCGAGAATTTGCCTTGTCTTAGCAACTCGGCTGCAAGTATCACCGATCGGATCTCCACTGGGCTAAGGTCGTGTTAATGTTGAAAGGTTCAGATGAGCATTGTCAGTGCTACTTGTGAGAGACCTGATTTCATTTTGAGAGCTGCACGAATCCGCAGTGTACCGGTTGGTGCGTCGGGTCGGGGCATTCTGAAGCCTTTACCCTTCATTCACGCATGTGCTATGATGTGCTCGTCTTGGAGCCGTGTTACGCATCTATGTCAGTGGGCACTGTATGACACGGCTCTGGTCGAAGTGTCGTGCGCGGCGTCAGTCGTTAAAGCCCAGTCGAGGCAAACCAGATCTCAGACTTGTGCTGGGAGAGTTTTATTAGCAACTAATGAAATCTCATTTTGCAAGCGTTGACAGCTTCGCTTTATGGATCGACTCCTGAGATCTTGTTTCCCATCAATTTTCAGGAAGCACCTTGGATTTGTGCCCCAATGCGATCACGGACAAATGCTGCTGCCTCAGCTTGTTGGAGTTCTGCATCTATGACGGACCAAAGCCTGCCTGCGCATGTTTGGTGCGATTCGACGGTGACAATGTCACGGTATGCTATGCTCTGATGTAGTTTGTATGTATCACTCTAATGTGTATATTCTTGTAATCAGCTTTAGCATAGCACGTCAGCATAAGCTTTTGTCGTGCGAAGGCTGGGATCGCTGCTGCCCTCCTGGCTATTTCTGCCACGGTCTTAGCATGTTTGTTATCTCGCAGCAAAACTTCAGAGCAAGAGGGGAAATTCCTGCAACGCAAGTGTGGGGTTCTATCAGCAGAGCACGTCCCGCAAATCTGAAGCCACGAACAGCCGAAAAAACACTTGTCACGTGCCTTGTTGAAGCATGAGCCTCTCGACATGTTTTCTGTTGCGAGGCTCGCGTTCGCCGATTGTCGGGCTGTATTGCCAGCATGGCCTCACCTCTTGCCGCATGCTTGCAATGGGCAGTCTTCCGCTCGATGGTTACGATGCAGCTCGAGTATTTGTCAGTTGGCTGGGGTTGGTGCCCTATAGGGCCTAGGCTCCGAATCAGACTCTCGGGCACGAGTCCTAGCACCTGCACCATGAACCGCGGCGCATGCCCACCGTGCTGTCGGATCGGTGTAGGACCTCTGCTCGAACGTACCCTTATGCAACCTCCCGTCAAACCATTGCACATCAATCGGGGGACACTTCCGGTCAGGGCACTTCCGGTGGGGCCTGACCGGTTCTGAAGCCCCGTCAAGCCATGCTGGGGTTTGGCCCTTTTGGGGGGTGACGGGATGCTGTTCAGGTTTTCCTCGCTTGTGCAAGAGTCCAAACCGGTCCAAACCCTGGACTGTACTGGCGGAAGTCTATATAAATCTGAAAGCTTGCGGAGGTGAGGACTTCAACTGGTGCCGCGACTTTGCAGACATCCCGCGGACCTGCGCTACCTCGGTCGGGCACTGCTTTTGTTTGAATAGAAAGCAAGGGCCTGTTTTTAGTCTTTCGTCGGTGGTGTTGGAATGGTTGCCGCGGCGAATCCGGGTCCAGGTTTGTGGGGCTTCGTCAGGAGACGGTGCCGCCGATGTGTATGCAGGTCTGAGGTACACTGTTCAACTCTTCCTTGGGTTGGAAGTGTCGGGATAGCCCGGAGTCTCAAATTCGGGTCAAAGCATGGGAAGAGCTTCATGCCTTCTTGTCGGTTTGAGGGTGGATGAACTGGTATTTGTGGTCGGCATGCTTGTCCGTATCACGAACTGCATGGCCTACCAAACTGTGGCATGATGGTGTTCGTGGCGGGGAGCGTGGTGTGACTGTGTGGCAGCCGGTAGTCGTGCCGTGCTTGCGAAGCAGCAGGACTAGCATGTGTCTCGCAGGTTTGCAAAACCAACCAGATGGTGACGCGGGTGACATCGTGGTCCTACATCTTAGTACTTTGCTCAGCCGAGGGGTAAGGAATGGAACGCTTGCGTCGCATGACGTTCACGTCAAGGCTGCCATCGGCATCTTCCTAGACCTGGTTGACATCATCACAATCTTTACACTGCCACGCTCTGAGCTCTCTGTGCTTTCATGCCTTCGTGGCAGAAGCCGCTACACAGCTTGCTTGCATCAAGGCCAGATGCGGTGGTGTTCAAGGCAGCGACCAACGTCTTCTCCAGCCTCGTGAAGTGGTTGGCGTTCGGTCTTGTAGTGCGTGGCTTAGAGACTGCAGTTTTGCCCGAGAAGCTCTCTCTAGATTGAAGTCAGGGCAAGGAATGAACCGAAGTGCAGTCGACATGGCCGGCTCACCGAAACACGCTGAAATGCACGGTTGCCCCTCTGCTCTTCCTTGAGGTTGGTGCGGGCACGCAGGGTTTCATGGCAGAGCTCGAGATGGCACGCTACCCAGTGTTGCCTTCAACATAGCAGACCAGAGACAAAGCTTCCTGCCCGACGTTGTTAAGAGTCTCCAAGCATCCAGTTAGTTCTCGTGCGCAGGGTAGATGTTTCAACGGCGGCGGCATGCAGCTGGTGGCAGATGTCCGGGCCCCAGGTCGGTAGGCGAACTGAACCCGAGAGCCTGCGAATCATCACGGCCGAAGCGGTTGGCAACGTTTTTGTAGCTGCAGCATGTACTGTGCCTCGAAGCCTCTTTCTCGCCGCTTGGTTGCAGTTTCGCACGATCTTTTGACAGGATGTGCCCTTTCGGTGGAATCTGGGTCCTAAACCCGCAGACGCTCAGAATCAGAACTGTCAACCAAGACCCTGAAGCTGCAGATGTTTCGAAAGAGGCCCGAAATGTCAAACACTGCCGAGGCCGGGGGCCTCTTTGTCTCCTATGCCATCGTGCAAGTTGTGTCGGGCCCTTGCACACGCGAGCTGTGTTGGCAAAGGTTTTTGGGCATGGCTCTCGGGGGTTTTGTGACAGTTTTGCGTTCACAGATTAGGGGTTGAGGTGATTTACAGAAAGAACGGAACGGAAGATTCTTTTGCAGGGCTTCGTGGCTGAGGGTTGGGAGTTGGGAGAGACGCCCCGAATTCAAGCAACGAAAGCATGCACGACGTCGGGCCTTTGCACAGTGCAACCCGAGCACTGCAAGCACCCCAACCAGCTCATGGTCCATGATGCCCATTAGTCTAAACACCGACATGCCAGTAACTTGGTTACTGTCTTGGGGATTTTGGTGCTTCATTCCTTTTTCGGGTTATTTCGGGAAGGTGCTGAATTAAAACACACTCACCAAGGCCTGAAGTTGTTGGAGCCGCTC